TTTTTTTTTTTTTTTTTTTTTTGTGATTTTTTTTTCTAAGCAAGATCGATCCTGTCTAGCTTAAATGATTCTTGTTGATCAAATATCTAAGGGCAGGAACACTTGATTGAGATTCGAATCACTCCACAAGCAAGATTGATCATGTCGAGCTTGAATGATTCTACATGTAACCTAACTACATAGAATTGCAAAGAAACTTAGTCATTGGCTAAAGAAGAGCACAAATGCTTCTTTTAATGTATTTTTCAAGTCTTCCTACAAATACAACATACATGTCTTTATATAGCCTCAAAATGAAACTAGTAAAGGCATTTAATAGTTATAACATTCATACTTAATAGTCATCATTAACCATTATGTAATTGTAAGTAAATTAAAAGTTTTAAAATACATTAAATCTAAATTACTCTAAATTGTAATCCACAACAAAATTTATAACATGAAACTTCATTCTTCTTCAATGTGGCATGAATTGAAATATCTTTTGATAATTTCAACAATATTTTATTCACATCTTCATTGAAGCATATTGTATGATGATGTCTCTTGGTTCATATCAAATGGTCTCTCCTGAACTTGGGTCAGTAAATGAAACAAATGTGTTTCTTGGCCGTACAACTGTAATTTTCATGTGAATGATGGTCAGCATGGTCCAATAATAGTTCTATAGAATTATTATTTTACTGGGTATAGCAATACAGGCCCGGGGCTAACTTAAAAAGTCAAATGGCCAAGATTCCATACAATAAAGAATCGAAAAGAACCCGTAAATTTATTAATTGTATTACATGGTTGCCAGAGACTGATTACTATATGGACCAGGTTTATAATATACATATGTAATATGTACAGTATGGATCAGTACGTAATAAAAGTTATTTGGTATCGTTTTATATCATCTTTTCAATTTTTTTTTAATTTATCGATAATAAAAGTTCTTTGGTATCGTTTCATATCTTCTTTTTAATTTATTGATGGACAGCATATTTGTTATTTTTCAAACTTACAAGTTAACTAATTGCCCGGATCCTTATTTTCAATCTTTTGATAATAATAATTAAATGTTTAAGATCAGGACGAGATCTTGTTTTAATAAAAATATTGGGAGAAAACATTAAAGTTTTTTTTAATATCCTTTTCATTTCAATTTTGTTTTTAAAAAATATTATTACGAGAAATTGTTTTTCTTTTTCATACGTAAATTCTTCCATGCGGAATATGAACTATAAATTAAATTTTTTCGATAGTTTGTTATATTGAAGCTTAAACGTGACTCTTGTTTCATTTTTTAATTTTTCAGGTCTTCGACTTTGATTTTGTTGATAGTGTTACATTGTTATTTTTTTTCATAAGCCTTTCCTAAATTTATTTTAGCCAAAATAAATAATATTGTCGTTAAATATCTAAAAAATAATAAAAAAAAATCAAATACGTACAATAAATAATAAAATAATGATAATGATAATAATAAATTGTAAAATAGCAAGAAAAGAAAAAAAAAACGAATAAATATAAAATAAAATAAAATAAAATTAAATTAAATTAAAATTAAAAAACAAATAAAAAATTGGGAGAAAAAAGAAAACCGCTCTCAAATTAAGTGTAAAAGCCTCTTATTTGGAAACCCTAAACAAATAGGGTTTTAATTTGAAACTTTGAAACAAAGGTTTTAATTTGGAAATTTGTAACAAACAATAATTTTAAGTTTTATTTAGGGTTTTAATTTAGAAATTTTGAAAGGGGTTTTAAAACCCATCTTTATTTCCTCTCTTTTTATCGTCCAAAAAAATAATTGGTGTTAATTATAAATCTAAATTAATTTATAAGAGTAAAGTTCACATCTTTAATTCACCATCCAATCTTTGTTAAATAGCATAAAAGAAAAAAAATGAATAAATATAAGATGAAATGAAAAAAAAAAAATAATAAATATCGAAGAAACAAAGGGAACCGAACCCAAAACGAAAACGGAGTCCGTTCGGGTTCAGAAAAATGAACCTGGTTGAATGTACACCTCTACTCTCCTCCCTAATTTTCAAAATAGATCTAAATTTAATTTGGTTCTCATATATTTAGAAAATACATATATTCAAAATGGATTGGTCGGCTTTTGTTCGTCTTCCACATTTTTTCTCTCCTCGTGGTTTCTGTCCTTACAGATGGGGTCTAAGGGTTCGTTGGAGGCTGACGTTTTTTGAAGTTGCCGGAGTTTGGTTACGCTGCCGTAAAACCTAGTATTCTCTATCTGTGTTTGTAACTTATTTGATAAATTTCGTCTTCCACGCTCTTCTCTCTTCATTCAGTGGTTTCTGTCCTTACAGGTGAGATTCGTTGGAGGCTGTTATCCAAGTCGCCGGAGTACTCGCCGGAAAACTTTGTATTATCCATTTTTTTCAATTTTTCTTTCTTCTCTGTCTTTGTCTTGGTAACTTCTAAATGAAAATGACATCTAACCTCTCATTTACAAATTTACATCATTTACAAATTTACATCATTTACAAATGAATGAAAATGACATCTAACCTCTCATTTACAAATTTATAAATTTACAAATATAGATGAGAGTGATTAACTTTTTGGGTTTACAAATTTTCTTGAGAGTGACGTTTAACTCCTTATTTACAAATGTGAATATACAGTGACATGTAACATTTTCGTTTGCTGTAAGGAGAAATACACATTTTTTTTCCCTCTTCCATTTTCGTCTCTTTCTCTTCCTATATAAATGAATTGAGGTTAGTAAAAAACACACCTCAATCTGCTCTCAATCTCGCTCTGAACCTACTCTCAACCGAGATTGAGAGCAGATTGAAGTGTGTTTCTTACTAACTTCAATTCATTTATATGGGAAACAGAAGAGACGAAAATGGAGGAGGGAAAAAAATGTGTATTTCTCTTTATAGCAAAGAAAATGTTACATGTCACTCTCTATTCACATTTGTAAATAAGGAGTTAAACGTCACTCTCAGTTAAATTTGTAAATCCAAAAAGTTAAACATCACTCTCAACTAAATTTTTAAACCCAACAAGTTAAATATCACTTTCATTACTTTGTAAATTTAAGTTAAACATCACTCTCATAACTTTGTAAATTTGTAAATGAGAGGTGAGGTTAAATGTCATTTTCATTTTCATTTAGAAGTTACCAAGACAAAGACAGAGAAGAAAGAAAAATTGAAAAAGATGGATAATACCAAAGTTTTCCGTGAGCGTAACCCAAACTCCGACGACTTCGAATACGTCAGTCTCCAAACCTTTAAAACTCACCTGTAACCACAGAAACCACGAAATAAAGAGAGAAAAGAGTGGAAGACGAAAGTTAGCTTACAAACACAGAGGGGAGGGTTTCGAAGACGGAACCGGAACTGAAGTCGTACTCGGAATCAGAATCAGAATCGCGTCCGGTAAAACAAGTGGAGGACAAATATTTGACTCAATCTGAAGAGTATTGGAGTTTTCACGACCGGAACAACAGCCGGAGCTAAGTCCGGCGGAAATGAAGCAAAGAAGAAATGTGTGTGTTCCAATAATGGAAGAAGAGCAAGTGATAGAAATGTGTGTGTTCCATAAATTATTTTTTTCATTTTCTTTTTGGAAAACTTCGCAATTGAAATTACAAAAGAGCCCTTGAACCCCAAAGAGTGGTATTGAGGCTCTTTTAAAAGACTTACGCCAGACAAAGTTAATTTTAGTGGATAAATAAAACTAAATACCATCTAAGTTTATTGGATAAATAAAACTAAAAAAAATTGATAACCCACCATCTATATTACCCTGTCAAACAAATCCTTGCATTTAATTATATTTAATACCCATATTACCCTCACGGGTCAAACAAATCCTTGCATTTAATTATATTTAATACCCATATTACCCTCACGGGTCAAACAAATCCTTGCATTTAATTATATTTAATACCATACTCCTAAGAGGTATAAATTAAACATTACATATTTAAATACTCATGCTTCCATTATTAAAATTTTAATCAATATTATTATTTTATATCAACTGACAACACATGAAATTTGATGAAATTAAAATTAATTTATTATTATTATTATTAACCACGTGTATCAAAACTAAGAATATACATTTTTATTTACTTTATTTTTGTTTTTTTTTTATTATTATTAATTTAAAATTTGTGTTAAAAAAATATTTTAATAACTTAAACAATTATTATTATAGTAAGAAGAATATGTAATTTACCTTTTTTTTTTTTTTAATGATTGCAACTAAATGGGTCCTTTGCAATCGTATACAATCCATGTACTTATGTACCTAATAAATATTAAAGAGAGTTTAAAATAAAATTAAATCAACAAATTAAATTAAGTTTTTTTAAGGTAATTTTTCTATTTAATCTCTAATATGGGTGGAATTCTTAATTTTATTTCTCATACAATAAAATTTTAATTTGTTTATTGAGTTAAAAATACTCTTATTTTAATTTTATGTACAAAAATATATATATATATATATATTTCGGATGTTTTAAAAAATTTAATCTCAAATATCACATCAAATAAGTTAATTACCTTTTTTTAATTCCAAAAAACATGAGTTACGTCCGACTCTTTATACCAAACTTATATAGTTAATTAATTTTTTTTAATGGTTAATTAATTTACATGAGTGACTTTATGTCAGAATATTTTATTAAAATAAATAATTGAGTTTTCTTTTTAATTCCAAAAAACATTCCAAAAAACAACTTGTGTCAGAATATTTTATTAGAATAAATTAGAATAAATAATTGAGTACACAATGTGTATATTATAAATCTAGTCTACACATATCTATATTACAAATCTGGTCTATATAGTACACAAGTTTCTGGTATCCATGTAACTTTTATTGCATGTCATGTCACACATATCTATATTACTGGTCTATATGGTATACCAATTTCTAGCAACCATGTAGCCCATTAATAAATTGTCGTACAGTGAATTGAATGGCTTTTTTTCGATTCTCTATTGCATGGAATCCTGGCCATTTGACTCTTCCGGATAAGTTAGCCCCCGGCCCTCTGTTGCCATACTCACTATAAAATAATAATTTCAGAGAACTACTATTAGACCATTCTGACCATCCGGCAAGATTCACCACTGAGTTTAGAAATGATTTCATGAAAATTACAGTGAAATCCTGAAACAAAAAGCCACTCAATTGTTGTATACTTTCTTCCGACTATGCAGTCACTCTAACAATGTTATTTAGTAGTCTGGCGTAAATTCTACAATCCTGAAAAACAGCAAGAGCGTCCAAATATGAAATCTACTGTACCGTAGATTTCACAAATCTTTGAAAAACAACATCTTTCCATTTATATATAGTGTCTTGGTAGCCAAGAAATACGCACTTGTAGAAGATTCACACTACCACTGTTCAGAAGAGCAGAAGAGCAACTGCATGGCCGTGTTTAAAAACGTAATAGAAATAGCTATGAAGTTGTTGACACCCACAGCTACAAAGTTAAAAAAAAATAATAATTATCAGAAGATCCAGATATTAAAATTGAAATATAACAACACATTTAGAATGGAAAATTGATATCTAACACATTGGAAACCAAGAAAATTAAAAACAAAATCCGGAGTTGTGAATTTTTAAAAATTCTGAATTTGTCAAAGATTTGGATAAAACACAGATTAAAAGTACAGAAATCAATTAAATAATTATATATAATTATATTAATATTCTGAAGTCAAACACCTCAGTGGCACGCGTATGATGTTTTTGTAGTTGCCTTTTCCATCCAAATGAAATGCTACTACAAAAAGAATGCATAAAAATTTAAAAAGAGCAATGAAGAAGGAGCTAGACTCGTAGACGAAGTTTCACCTCCTCATTTTTTTTTTTTTGTTGGAGTCTCATGATGTTTTCTTTGAAATCAATGCATGTTTATCAACTAGATAAAGGAAATTACTTTTCAAAATTTGAGCAATACAATCGTTATTGATAGACAAAGTCAACTAAGTCGAGAAAATCATATAAAAAAACTGCTAGAACAAATAATTTATTTCAACAGTGAAGAACAAGATACACACTCACGTTTCTTCGGATCTTCAGTAGCAGCATCATCCTCTTTATCCTCTCTTCCAAAGTTCTTCTCATCTGAAGCGTTTAATAATTCCTGAGCAGCTCTTAGAGCTCTCAATCGCTCTTTGCTGGCTCGCTGAAATATGGTGGGTAAGAACTCTAATTTATAGAAGAAAGAAGAGAGAAGAAATGGAATAGGAGAAGAGTGAAGTTAGATGTCACTATCACTGGTTAGATGTCACTATCACGATGGTTAAATAGTTAGATGTCACTGTCACGAGGTTAGATGGTTAGATGTCACTATCACTATCACGACGTGAGATGGTTAGATGTCACTATCACATCTCCGGCGATGCTATGTCAGCATCAAACAAAACGGCGACAGCTCCGGCGACGCTAAGTCAGCCTCAAACGAATCCGCGACCATACAAGTCCACGCCATAAAGCCCTCAGAACTCAAAGACAGTAACCACGAAATGAAGAGAGAAAGAGTGGAAGACGAACGTACCTCAAAGACAGGAACCACGAAATGGAGTGGAAGACGAACACTTTAATGTGGTCGGACATAAACGCCGGCGAAACAGAGACCTTCGAACTCAGGAACACCTTCATATGCACACAGTGATAAGTAAAATAAATAATAATAATAATAATAATAAAAGGGGAAGAAAGCCGCACCAGTTGAAGCTCGAGTAGCCCATTATCGAGGGCTATTGGAGAGCAGAAGAAGAGGGTTTAAGAGACGTCGGAAATGGAGGAGGAGATCACGAACTCTCGGAGACCCACATCGGCCAGAAACTTCCCGATTGAGACCCACAAGCGCCCTCTGATGGATTAGGGGAAAGGTTTGAGGATTTGTACTGCCGAGGCTTGAAGCTTGAGGTTAGTGAAGACAAAGAGTCGAAATGGACGGAAGGAAACGGTGAATCGAGACATCACTTTGGATTTACGAGATTTGAGAAGGATTATGGGCGTCGGAAACGAATCGGAGGGAGAGGCGACGGCGAGCATGAGGTGAGCGAAAGAGAAAGGGTTAGGGGAAAACGAGGGTTTCGCGTTCTGTGCGGCCCAATGCCCCGTATGGCCCAGCGCGGGCATGCTTTACGCGTGGACAGCGCTGGCCTGCGTGAGGGCGACGCGGGCGCGCGCGCCCCGCCTGGCCCACCACGGGCTCGCGAACCGGAGAACAGCCGGCCCGACACAAGTAGCGGTCCAGACGACCCGACCGGACATTTATTGGGTCGGTTGGGCCCTTTTGATTAATTGGCCGCTTTAACTCGCACGGCTTTCATGGTATTCCTCATTTTTGCACCAAAGTAGGAATTTCAAGATTAGAGATAATTTGGATTATCTTTGTAATTTTTACACTGATGAAGGACGAAAAGGGAAAAAGAATATCACACAAAAATAGAAAGAAAAAAAAAAAATCGTGTGTATTAAATGAAAATTATTGCGTGGGGGCCACCTGATATTTATTTTCCTCATCTTCCTTCCTTTCCGTCCCCTATAAATTCGACGTTCTATTCTTACTAACACATCACATCTCATATACTTTACATTTTGTTTGTTCTAGAATTTTCTCTCTTCATTTCGTGGCATTTTGACAGACAACCAAGGCGGGTGTTCCAGACAGCAGGTGTTCTGTTCGGTTTTTTTTTTTTACGCATTTCATATTCGGTTTTTATGCTCTTTTCTTCCTCTGTTCAGGTGTTCGAGACCTTGGCTGAAGGCTGGAATCGGAGGGAACGTCTGGGGACGATCAGCCGAAGTCATGGTTGTGAGATCCATAAATTCCGGTGACCTTGGTAATATATTTATTTTTAATTTTGTCTCTGCTGTATTGGTACTTGAGTGTATTTACAAATATTTATGAAACTTGTTTCAAGTTCATTTATAGCTAAATTGGTACTATAGTATCTGTAACCCATAGAAAGCCAACGTTCGAGTCTCATCGAGAACAATTTTTTTTTTTTAAATCTCATCAAGAACAATTTGTGATTTAACCTACCAATATTATTTATTTTCAACTTTATTTTTAGCTTTCAATACAAGCTTTTAAAAAATGGATGGAAGTTGTTTTTAAGAAATGTGAAATTTAAGTAATGGTAAAAATATGCAATTGTTATTTTTCAAGATGGTGAAATTTATGCAAGACTATTGAACATTAATTTCATGATTGTTTAGATGATTGTGTGTTCTCTGTAACATTTGTATTTTATAATCATTTATAAATTTTGCAATCTTAAAAAATTGCATTTTCAAATATGAAATCTACTTTAACGTATATTTCACATTTTTTTTAAAACATTTTCTATTTGTTTATATAAAATATGGGTGTACATTCAATCCGACAACTAGGACTAACTTAACTCGAACTACAAGGTTGAGTTGGGTTGGGTTGAATTAGCATTTTGCAGGGTTGTGTTTATTTTTCTGAACCCGAACTTAGTTGGTTTCGGTTTCGGTTTCGGTTTCGGTTTCACGGGCAAAACTTTTGGGATGACCCGAGCCAAATATATGTATTTAGAATTCCTTCGTATTAATGGGTTTGTCAGAGTGGTACTTAGGCTCCTTCCGTAAAGACTTCCGCCGGAGTTCGACGCCAGGCTAATACTATTTTATTATTTTTGTTTTATTTTGTTATTTTTGTTCTGTTTATATTATTTTCTTATTTTATTATTTTAGTTTTGTTTATATTATTTTCTTATTTTGTTATTTTTGTTTTGTTTATATTATTTTGTTGTTTTGTTTATATAATTTTGTTATTTTATTATTTTTAATTTGGAATGCTATGGTACTATTTTTAAATATATTGTTTATGCAAATGCTACTTTGTTTTTTTATTATTTTTGTTTTGTTTATATTATTTTGTTATTTTCAGCATTTTGTTATTTTATTATTTTTGTTTTGTTTATATTATTTTATTATTTTTAATTTGAAATGCTATGGTACTATTGCAAATGCTATTTTGTTATCAATTACCCCTCAGTTATTGTTATTGGGTGTAGCTGCTAAGTTTTTGTGTAATGAATTTTTACGTATTCTTGAGTAATATTTCTTATAATATTACAATCTCTTTAGATAGAAAAGGAGACTACACAGGTCTCTTTTTCTATTCAAGGAGGCGATAGCATTATAAGAAATGCTACAAAAGAAGACATGAAAATTCATGCACAAAAACAAGCTAAACATGACTAATAAATAAGTTCGCTATATATTCTATAATAATAATAATAATTATTATATATTTCCTTTATCGGTGAGATATATTGAGAGTTAGAATCTGAAATATGAGTATGTTATTGTAGGGAGGATTACGCGGATTTTTATTGCCTGCACAAAGTCTAAATGCATAAGATCAGAGATAGTCTGTGAAGGAAGTCGTGATCGATTCGGATCGAAAATTGGAGTTTCAAAGTTCGCCATGTAGGTATTGATGTTTCTTGATAACTTTGGACTGAGTTAATTATTACTGTGATTAGAAATAAATTACAATAAAATCCGCGTGCTTCAGGGATTGAACTTGCGCCGTCGAAGTCAAATGAACCGTTCAGCCGGCGACACGTGTCAGCGCACCAGCGCGTCTTCCCTCCCCATGCGCGTCCGTACGCGCGCGTAAGCTCTTTTTTGTTCCGACTTCTATTTTCGTGATTCCATTTCTAACCCTATTTTTATATGAATCACTATTTTTGGATATACTTATATTTTTAGGCTACATAATCAGAGAATTGAAAATTGAAAATAAATTATTATTATTATTATTATTATTATAAAAATGAAAATAAGATGGATTCTGAGTCTGTTGCCAATTAGTTAATTTGAAAAATAACGAATGTGATGTCCATCAATAAATTAAAAAGAAATTGAATAAATTAAAAAGAAATTGATCAAACTAGACCAAATAATTTTTATTACATGAAGCACATTTATATTATAAATCTAGTCTAAATGGTACACCAGCTTTAGACAATCATTTAGTTTTATTAGTAAGATATTGTACCGTGAATTTAATGGCTTCTTTTTGATGGTTTATTGCATGTAATCCATTTGACTCTTTCGGATAAGTTAGCACTCGGGCCTCTTCTGCCATAATTCGCATAGAATAATAAATTTAGAGGTCCATAATTGGGTTAGTTGAACATCCAACAAGATTTATGTACGACTATTAAATAATTATGTTAGTGACAACATAATTTAAAGAATTTAAACACGAACTTAGGACTTCTCATTTTAAAATTGTAGTGTAATGGGCTCTTCCCTTGGGTAAATAAATGAAAATAACATAAATGTATTTTAGCAATCCTGGGAGTTAGGAACTGTAATTTTCATGTAATCATTTTTAGACTCATGTTAAAATATTGTTGGATGTATAACAATGGGCCTCTAAATTTATTATTGATGCACAGTATAGGAGGCCCGTGGGCTAACTTATTCGAAAGAGTCAAATAGATTACCTGCAATAAATAATCTAAAAGTGCCACTAAATTCACCTTATAATATTTTATTAATGGGACTATATGATTGCTTAAAACCGGTCTACCATATAGTCTGGGCTTATAATATATGGTGTGTAATAAAAATTGTTTGGTCTTGTTTTATATCTCCTCTTAATTTATTGATTAGACCACATTTATTATTTTTCAAATTTACAATTTAACTTATGGACATCACACGTGATCCATCTCTATTTTCAATTTTTTTCTTTTATAATATTAATAATTTATTTTCAATTTTCAGATTATGAATCTTCTTAATTATATGAAAACATTTTTAATTCTGCAGCCATAATTCATAACCGTAAATGGAATGATTTTTACCATATGCCTTAAATTTCTAAGTAGTTACTAATATCTGATGTTCATCATTTATGCAGAAATATCAATTTTAAAAGAAAACTGTGGTAAACATTTAAAATATCTTCTTCACCATAATACACAACCATGATCAATTAAAAACAACAAAATAATTTAAAATTTTAATACCTACTAAATTTAAATCAATGAAATGCAAAAACAACTTTTCTATTTAAATATGAGTTATTTTAGGCTAAATTTAACTTATTATTGCATATTTGTAAAAAAGAGATGTGTCAATAGCTTACCGAAAATTATTGAATTTGCTATTCTAAAGTCAGTGTCATGATGTTCCGCGTCATGTTAATATATGTAAACTGTTATGAAATGATATATACATGCGTTATGAAACGTGTGATTGTTATGACTGTAGATGAATTGATATGTTTATGATATAGGATAACAAGAAGTTTTTATTTTAATTATTGGCATTTCCATTAAAAAAAAAAAAAGAGATTAAAATAAATAAATAAATGAATAAAATCCGATGGGAGAAGGGGCGATGGAGATAAGAGTGTTTGGAATCGAAATTGAGGAGCTTACACATATCATAACGTGTCGTCCCCAAACCACGTCGTATTAACAGGTGTCTCTCTTCTCTCAAACCCCATTTCCTCCATTTTAAATCCCACAATCCTCAATTTCTCAGCCATGCAATTCAAAATTAAACCTTTCCAAGAATTTTCAGATCCTTCAAGAACCCAGAAATTGCTCTGTTTTGCATGCTTTGATCATCGAGGAACTGTTTTGAGCTGTTTTTGCCGTCGCCACCGCCGCTATGCCGCCGAGACGATATGCTTTTGGACGGGCCGATGAGGCCACCCACCCTGACTCCATTAGAGCCACCTTGGCTGAGTTCATTTCCACTTTCATCTTCGTCTTCGCCGGGGAAGGCTCTGTTCTTGCTCTTGGTATGTTGTTCTAAAAAATTCTTCATTTAAATTCTTACCCAAATGCATGCATGAATTAATTGATTAATCCTTCGATTTTGCAGACAAAATTTTCAGTCCAGCAGATTATGGAAGTTATGGCCATGGAGGTTACAGTCGCGGTCACGGTTATGGTCGGAGGAGGACCGACACGGGCCGAGGTGCATCCGATTTAGTTGTGATAGCAATAGCGCACGCATTCGCTCTGTTCTCAGCGGTTGCAGCGAGTATCAACATCTCCGGTGGGCATGTCAATCCGGCTGTGACTTTTGGCGCTCTTCTTGGCGGGAGGATATCACTTATCCGTGGAATTTTCTATTGGGTAGCTCAAATTTTGGGTGCCATCGTCGCTTCACTGCTCTTGAGACTCGCAACCGGTGGCATGGTAAGAAAAGGAAATGATTTGTTTATGATGTTGTTGTTTTTTAAAATGGATGAATGATTTTATAATTGGGAAATTGCAGAGGCCTATGGGGTTTTTCGTTTCATCAGGGATATCAGAAATGCACGGCTTTCTGCTAGAGATAGTGCTGACGTTCGCCTTGGTGTACACAGTGTACGCAACAGCAATAGACCCAAAGAGAGGCAGTTTGGGGACGATAGCGCCACTGGCAATAGGGTTAATAGTGGGGGCTAATATTCTGGTGGGTGGGGCGTTTGATGGGGCGTGCATGAACCCGGCGAGGGCGTTTGGGCCGTCGTTGGTGGGGTGGAGATGGGACAATCATTGGATCTACTGGATCGGGCCATTGCTGGGAGGTGGGCTTGCTGCGCTTGTTTATGAGTACTTGGTGATTCCTGTTGAGCCTCCTCTGCATACTCACCAGCCCTTGGCTCCGGAGGATTACTAAGCTTTTGGTTTTTGAATTTGTAGAAACAGATTCGAGTGTGTGGTTTGGATGTGAGACTGTTGTTTTTTTGTAGTCTATTTTGTTTGTTTGTTGTCTCCGTTGGGGTTATTTGTGGTGTTTATGTTGTTCATCAAGGTAATAAAAGCAATACAGCTTACATCTTTTTGTGGTGTTCTTTGTTCTGTTTGGTTTGAAAATTAGAAGGTGGGTTCATTGTTTTTGGAGCTTAATCCTTATCCTTTTCGACCTTGATGATAACGAAAAGTGGGATATGGGTATGCCGTATAGGTTCAAAAGTTTTGATCTTTATCCTTTTTATGTTGATTGAATTTGGTCTATTTTAACATGAATTCGATGTGCTCTGCATTAAGTGGAGTCATTCCGATAAGGATGACCTGTACAAATGGTGGATTTGGGATCTGGGTGGTTACAGGATCTGGGTCGTTACAAGTAGTATCAGATATTGAGGAATTGTCCATACGTAAAATCATCTGGGTCGTTACAGATAGTATCAGAGATCTGGGTTGTTACAGATCTGGGTTGTTACAAAGACACATCCTCACAAATAGTATCAGATCTGGGAGTATCAGAGATCTGGGTATCAGAGATCTGGGTTGTTACAAAGACACATCCTCTGAGTTGTTACAAATAGTATCAGAGCCAGACAACATGTGTCAGCGAAGACAACATGCCAGTACACATCCTCTGGGTTGTTACAAATAGTATCAGAACCAGACAACATGTGTCAGCCTTCTCGCTGACCTCCACGGTGTGCCAGTAAGGATGCTGGGCCTCAAAGGGGTTGTTACAAATAGTATCAGAGCCAGACAACATGTGTCAGCCTTCTCGCTGACCTCCGCGGTGTGCCAGTAAGGATGCTGGGCCTCAAAGAAGGTAGATTTGAAGACGTCCCACAATTGGAGGAAGGAAAGTGCAACGGACTCCGAAGGGGTGGATTGTGATGTTCCACATTGGTTGGGGAAAAGAACAATTGTAACCTCCCGGAGAGGTTGAGGAGAACAAACCACAAAAGTGTAGAAATCTTTACCTAGCAGTCGAGGGGAAGCTCGAAAAAAAAAAGTCCAAGAGAACAATATCTGCTAGCGGTAGATTTGGGTCGTTGGTCGTTACAATAATCACACGTCAACATCTTAATCTAATATATGTGTCATGCTTTTCAATCGATTTTAATTGATTCCGAACTCTTGATCATAATCTAATAGACATGTAATGCTTAGAAGTTGACTCCCAACTTCAAATGTCTTTGGTAAATTCTATGTTTTATAATTAATTCAAAATATAAGAAAAATAGTTTCTTTAGCAAATTTGAAGCAAAAATGGATGGAAATTATAATCATTTTAAAGTTAACTTGTTATAAATTTCGTGGGGGTAGTAATAAAAGTTTCAATTTTCTTTTTTTTTTTTTCCCTATATAAAAGGTATACAATTGGGCTGAAGGTTGTTTGTTTGGAATCAGATCTAGCTATGAAGAGCCTTGACGCAATACGAAGGGGAACGACATACTTCTGTTTATTGTTATACGATTGCTTGCAGGTTCTTTCGCAATGCAGATTCATAGGTTCTCCCCATCTTCCAGCTTCATTCTTTATCTATGGAACTTGATGATTAGAAGCTCTGTCAATGGCGGGTTCTTCGCCCAAGCTCTTGAAGCCTACTCGTTTATGTGCCACTTCGGAATTCATGGTAACAATTTCACATTTTCTCTCCTCCTCAAGCCTTTGCGCAAATCTTGCTTCGATCGGTGATGGCAGTTGGCACGATGCTCCACGCTCACCTCATCCGTGATGGGTTCGAATCAGACATGTTTGTTCAAACCTCGCTTGTCGACATGTGTTCCAGAGTGCTCTGACGACTTGGCTTCTTCACGCCAAGTGGTCGACGAAATGTCTACAAGAAGTGTTATCTCTTGGAATGGAGTTCTGTGATTACAGCTTATTCTCGCGGTTTTCGGGTTAATGAAGCGTTAAAGGTACGCCTGTGGCAAATTTCTCCCATCCAAATGTATGTAAACCTTGGTCAAATTCATGCAGCTTGCTCTGTTTTTATGAGATAGTGATTTTTTTCATGCCACCAGCAATGTTACCTGAGATCATTAGAGAGAGAATAAGTGCCAGCGAGAACACTGGCCCCGAAGGGGTGGATTGTTAGATCCACGTTGGTTAAAGAGGAGACTGATAAGGACATGGAAACCTTTTCTTACCGGATGCCTTTTAAAAACCTTCGAAAGGGAGAGCATAGAGAAGACAATATCAAATAGCAGTAGGTTTGATGGTTACAAATGATACCAAAGCCAGACACTTTCGGGAAAGCATAAAGAAGACAATATCCAATCCACGTCGGTTAGAGAGAGGACCAAAGCATTGTTTATAAGGGTATGGAAACTGTACTTTAAAAATCTTGAGGGAACCTGAAAGGGAGAGCATAAAGAAGACAATATCTACTAGCAGTAGGTTTGACGGTTACAAATGGTATCAAAGCCGGACACTTTCAGGAAAGCATAAAGAAGACAATATCTACTAGGAAAGAGTTTGACGGTTACAAATGGTATCAAAGCCGGACACTTTCAGGAAAGCATAAAGAAGACAATATCTACTAGCAATGAGTTTGACGGTTACAAATGGTATCAAAGCCGGACACTTTCGGGAAAGCATAAAGAAGACAATATCTACTAGCAGTGAGCTTGACGGTTACAAATGGTATCAAAGCCAGGTACTGGGTCAGTGAGTTGACTGAACCTTAAAAAGGGAGTGGATTATGAGATCCCACCTCGGTGGGAGAAAAAAATGAAGCATTCTTTATAAGTTAGAAACCACTTTATAAGCTAGAAACCTCTCCCTAATAGACTCATTTTATCTACTATTTAAATAATACTCTGAGAGAAAGGGAGCACAAAAGGAAAAGTTTAAAAAGGAAGCTATCTACAGGCATTGAGCAGCAGGATTTGATTGCTTGACGAATTAGGAAGGTTGAAGATACTCCAACAATCTGTGATCATTTATGTAGCAGATAAAATTGAGATTGTTTCTTGAACATCTACAAAAGTTTCTTGGAATTTTGAAATATTTAATAAACTGAAGATGATTCTCATATGTTCCTCTACAAAAGATTGATTCTTATATTTAAGAAACTGTACTCAGGACTGGACAACAAATAAAATTTGAATTACCTCTGTTCCACCTGATTCAAGCTCTCCAGTATTGAGAAAGAAGAACAAGGCTTGCAAATTTGTTCTCTGCTAGAAACGAAGAACTGTGATCTGCACTCAGAATCAGATATACATTTTGTGCCGCCCATCTTGTAATATATTGTGGTTTCATAGTTTATGGTGCTCGCATCTTCTCAACAATGTTCCTGCTCTTTTCTTCAATGGTTCGTCTCTTTTCTTCTAGTTTCTCCCCCATCTTCTTCCCTATTTCTAGCATTCTTGCTCTTCTTCCTGTTCTCCTTGGCGGCTTTGGATCATCTTCCTCAGCGTTATGATTTTCCTGCCCAGATGAGCTTCTAGAACTAGATGGTGATTCATTCTCCTGCGCCTCTACTCTATTTTGCTGCAAATTTTCTATTTCTTTGTCATTTTCTAATAAAGGGATTTTCATTTCATCTTCGTCCAATGTCTTACTTGAAGCTGGAGCTGGATTACCACTACTTGATGAAGCCTTTGATGCATTTACCAAGTCAGTGTGTGGCTGAGAAGGCTCGTTCTGAGGTATTTTATGCTCAATGGAGATGGTTTTACTGGCTTCAGATCTATTTTTTGGTTCAACAGGATTGGATCTTTGATTTTCACATGAAGATTTGTTATCAGAAGCTCCTTGGTTGAACCAGATCAATGGTGCAACGTCCCGTGGAACCCAGTCGTCCTTCTCGGCCATCATGAATGGAATGAATATACTTTCACTGTTGGGGAGCACTAAAGTATCCTTGATCACTGCCTGCATAGTAGGTAACACATTAGCAGAATATCAGCAGGATTTACACAACATCGCTTAATTTCATGCTGCATTTTAATAACATGTAATGAGTTTAGTGTTCATGCTGCTGCATTTTAACCTTTCAGACACTGGATTACACACTTGATCAAGAGGATTCAGGCAGCGTTTTAGTTTTAAACATGGTTACGACGATCGTGGAAAGCGAGCGCTAACAAATTCATATACTTGAGGTATGATTTTCGATTTGAAACCATCATTCGTGATTCTTTGTTATCACTGCTTCCTTCTTTTAAATATGAAACAAACATATCACGACACGAGTTTCTTTGGCTCCATCACAAGCTAACGTGCTAGCATGAGGCTTGTGCGATGCCAACGATCAAAGAGAAATACAATATTAGTAGCCTTTTGAGAGGATTAACTGTCCTAAAATCTACCCATTATGGACGGATTCTTGAAAATTAAGCCTACTGAACTAACTTCATGTTAGGAAACACATCTCCATACCTTAAGCCGGTTGTTCAAAAACTGAGCAACATGTGCACTAGATATCTTATGGTCCCCAAACGATGATTCCAATCGCACCTCCAAATCTGGCATGGATGTAAAACTGTACCATAGCTGATCAGAAGGAGGCGGTTTTATATGTACCCGCAGCGTCCCTCGGAGAGATGCAACCTTTAGTACCAAAGAGATCGGCACCTATAAATTCAAAAACAAATGAGAAAATTATGAAAGGGGCTAACTCCATGCATCCAAGACATCTAACAATGCCTCTTAGTTTCAGGATACACACTTAAACTTAACTATCAAACGCGAAGGTCGACAAACCTGAGAAACCTGTTTAGCAATAGAATTCATTAGAGATTTCCACTTGGATCCACTAGAGTATGAGGACGTGGGGTTCTTACTGTTTTCCGACCCACCTGCAACCGAACGTTGAACTACTGAGATTATAATTGAACCTAAAATCAGAATTCTATCTCTGATCTTATGCATTTAGACTTTTGCAGGCAACAAAAAGAATTATAAGTTACCAATTCATGAGGATAGAACATATGAAAACCATTTAATGGTTAGTCGCTCACCTTCGTCGTTCTGTTCTGTTCCTTCAGAGGTACTGAACTGCTTTCGAAGATAAACTTCTAGAAATGAAGAGACCTCCCCAACATCACTGGAATCAGATTTAGAGTCTACTGCGCTTTTTTGAAGATCTAATTCATGAACTTCAATTCTAGTTTCGATATCTAAGGCAAAGCCTCCAGAGTATTCAAAGTCAACCTCCAAGGCCCATACTTCACTCAATTCAAAGGGAAGAACCCTTATAGTATTGATATTGGGCGGGAGGTTTCCAGGATGAACTTTAGTACAGCTAACTTCGCGAATGTAACTTGGAGTCCTCATGTTCGACAACATCCTCTGCAATGACAAACAAAAGTATTCATCAAACAGTAAGAGAACGTATGTAACAGCCCAAACCCACAGCTAGTAGATATTGTCCTCTTTGGGCTTTCCCTTTCGGGCTTTCCCTTTCGGACTTCCCCTCAAAGTTTTTAAAACGCATCTGCTGGGGAAAGGTTTCCACACCCTTATAAAGGGTGTTTCGTTCTCCTCCCCAACCGATGTGGGATCTCACAATGTAATGATAGGAGTATCAACATTCTCAAAAGAAAAAAGATCTCTTGGGGAAAAAATGAACCTGAATTCGATCGTGCAAGGATTTCATTAGCCCTTCATTGCTTTTGGCATCAAAAAAGAATCTTGACATCAACAAATTCCAACCAAGTGTTCCATCATCAGTCAAGAATCTGTCATCAGAATCTGCCTCAGAAATAACAGAGGCATGACCATGGTGGCTTCCTGAGTGAACCATTGATGGTGTTGCCATATCTTCCTCAAATAAACTTTTAGTACTCTGCGCCTTTGGAATTCCCTTCCCTAAGCCCGACGACGAAACAAAACCTGGACTCGGATGAAACCTCTCACTAAAGTTTTTTTCTTCACGCAAAGAAGAAGAAGAAAATTTTACTTTATAATCTGAAGCAGCCTTAGAAGTCTTCTTTGCCAGTTTTTTGAAAAAGAGCTGAACCTTCGAAGGAGCGTTAGGCTTGATATCCTTATCAGTAGCTTCAGAATAGTACCCTGCAGAGGGCTTCATAAATGAAGGATACCCAGTTCTTAAAGAAGAGGTATAACTATGGAACTCTTTCTGTAAATTAGCAAACCACTGCAGTCTTTCTTTGTCAACACATGAAGCTAAACGGAGGGCTTTACACCATGATTCCTTCTCCCAGGAAGTTTCAAGAAAAATGAAGATTGTTTTACTTTCATTATAAACTATGGAGGTTCTGTTTTCCAATTTTAAAGGGAACCTTTTCACCCTGAAATACCAATAATCAAATTATAAAAACATGGCGTCTGGAATTCAGAAGAACAATAAAAAAAAACACAAAACTTAAGTTCTTATTATGTACCCTCAGATTCAAATTCTATACCGATAACAAGTATTACACTCTAACACATAGCAGAAAAGATTTCCAACATTGATACACATCGAAACCATTAAGGTACCAAATAAATTCAAACAGAGTAACAAACCAAGTATTCTGCACCTTCCACACATCAAGAATATCAACATTTTAATAGCTATAGCTTGTAGGGTCGATTTAGAGGAATGAACAAGCAACAAGAACACGCAGCATGAGAAAATTTAAGAACAGTACACACAGCTAATTTTACTTGTATGCATAGCCACGAGCTCCTTTAAATTCAACCATTTCTTACCAGATCATAACAAGGAGAAGAAAAGCTATTGAAAGAATATTGGGCAGGGTTGAAGCTTTTAGAATTGAATTCAGCATCTCAATAAGTAAGAATAAAAGAATAAAATGTCTGTAAGCCAAAAACTTTGAGCATGAAGAACATCATCATATGCTAGAATGAACTTTTTATATTGAAATGAAATATGAAAGAAGATACCATTTTCTTGAAGGCAAGGTTGCTGCTGAAACGGCTTCAATGGTGCAGCCATTTAATTGAATTGTTTTCGTATTACCATCTGATTCTGATATAATTAACGTCTGGTCCTTGATTCTTGCATACTTTTTTACAGGAGCTACCTCCAAGAAATCTTTCCCTTTCTTTTGTTCTCCAGGTGCTTTCTCTATTATATCTTCTAGCACATTTGATTCTAATATCCATACCCAACCCTGCCAAACAAAGAGATCATATCGCAAGAACAAAATCCAGAATTATTAGTCCATTTAGTAAACCCAAGAACAACCAACAATACGATTTCAGTCAATTTTTTGCGTGTTTGAACTCCGAAACGAAACAAGAACACAGAAAACCTGAATTGAATACCTGCTTGTTGGAAAGAAATTCAAGGGATTGAAGAGGATCTGGCTCGGATTGCTCTAGCTTGGCATTGGCTTTAGCTAAGTCCTTTTGAGACCTCTTGCTCAACTTGTTCAAAATGATATAGACTGCAAGAGCCTCCGCCGCAAGGATTGCCACAACCCCAAAACCAAAACCGAATAGAAACGTCAGAATCAAGAGCGACCCCATTTCAATTGTTCGCAATCACCAACGAACTCTAACCATGAAATCTCACGAAATCGAGTTGCAGGTACTGGAAAAAGGGATTGGGAATGGGGGGGAAAGTGGAGAAAATGAACGAACAATGCGACCCCTAAACCCCAAAAGGAAAAATATCGAAAGAATCTGAATCGGAAACTCTGCTTGGGTCCAGCTTAGTGCCAAGTTTGCTGGAAGTAAAAGTAATCGAAATCAACGGAGTGTAACGCTTGAGATTCTTCTTCTTTTTCACTAATTACAGAGAGCAACAGCCACAAACACGGAGAAGAAAAGAATTCCTTCAGTTTCATAGACGGATTGAAGAGAATTGATTAGGGCCTCATTTTATAGTTAATGGGAAAGCTGGATTTTGAACCTTCTTCCAATCGAAGAAAGTTACAGATTCTTTCCTAACAATTTCGTTTTTTCTTCTTCTTCACGATAATTCCAACTGTTCTTAATCTAATTCTCTAAATTCATGCCTGTTGATGAGCGGTGTTTTTCCACATTCGAGGTGGGTTTTTTTTTTCTTTTTTTCTTTTTTTTTTTTTTCTTTTTAACTTAATTAAGAGAGAAAAGTAATTTGTATTTACTTTGATGTAGTTTGTTTGTTTTTATTTCGATTTAAATTTTATTGATTTTTGTCTTATATTTTATTTGATGTGATTTATCCTTCGTCTTGTTAAGATTCAAAGTCTCGAAAAACGGAGTTATGACAACATATTATTGGTTCATTTTATAAATTCATTTAAAAAGATGTTAATTTTTTCTACTCTACAGGTTCTATGGTCGGTCCGCGACCCCTGGATACCGAAGGCGTCCTTGGGGTGATCTCGTAGTTCCTACGGGGTGGAGACGATGGGGTTGGTCCATGGATTTTCCTTCTTTTTGCCGCATTTCGCTCAAAGGGTTGAAGGAAGATAGTGCATCAAGCTGTTCTCAAGGGCCAACTTTATCCTCTTCCCGAGGGATCCCAGATGAGGGAACCTAAGAGAGCCACCCAACTTGATCCTCTTCCCCAGGGATCTCAGATGAGGGAACCCTAAGAGAGCCACCCAACTTGATCCTCTTCCCCAGGGATCTCAGATGAGGGAACCCTAAGAGAGCTGCCAACTCCGATCCTCTTCCCCAGGGATCTCAGATGAGGGAACCCTGAGAGAGCTGCCAACTCCAACTACCGTTCATGTACGATCCATACTAGATCTGACCAACTACCCATCCTACTTCCTCTACGTTCTCTATCATACTTTTTATCTTGTCACTTTGATTTTGATCAAATATATTTCAAAGTTATTTTAAATCTATTAAATATGATTTTAATTATTTCAAAATAACGATCAAATCAATGACCTTCGTGATAACTTAAAACCGAACAATATTGCTATTTTTTTTTTTCTTATCTACCAAAATAACCCAAATTTGAATTAAAAAAAATAAATATTTTAGGAGAAAAAAAAAATTAAAACCAAGCCCAAAAATTATTTTCAAATTTTTCAAGAAAGGAAGAACCAAAATAAGAAAATCGGGGTAAAATAATGGTAAATTCAAAAATAGAAAACTAAAATGAAGTCATAATGAAACGAGATTCGAATCTCCCTCTGAACTTCGAACTATATATTTCCTACTCTAGCAACCATTGAAGAACGATTAAAGTAAAGACAGAGAGAAACAAGAACAAAAACTTACATTACAACTCCACCAGATAAACAAAATTGACACTCAATTACAAAACAACTCCCAATCAGGCATGTCTTAATAGCAACTTACATGTCTAGGGAAGTTCATACCATAAAAGGTTAAAAGCAGACTGGGGAGAAAAACTGAAGTCTGAATCCAGAAAAAAACCCCTCAGCCATGCCTCTGCTATTAAACCACAGCAATGTTCATCATTTTTCATGAGCAAAAAAGTACAGAAGCGTTGGTTCTGAATCAAAACTCCTGGTTTTCTAACTGTGAAATGAACTGCAGTGAGCAGAGGCAGAGGTAAGAGCTTCTCATGTTGGTTGCAAAAGCATGAACAGAAATATACAACCTGCATGAAGGAGAATCAGTAAGCCAGCCTACGAAATGGAAACTGATTATTTACATGCTCGAGTGCAGGGAAAAGAAGTTGAAGTCGTGATGCTGGACGCCGAGCTGCTTCAACCATGAATCAGCTGCATGATAGAGATCGACGATTCGGTCGTAGTCAGACGTGTCTGGCTTCAACCAGAGGTCTCCCTGCATTCTATAAGTGGCTAACCCAAATGGAGAAAGGCTAGTAGAAGTAGAAGTACTAGTTTTGCCATCGATTTGACCCCCGGTATCGGATTCGGAACAACTACATCCATCTTGCCCTTCATGATCCATAGAGCAATCTGCAGTCATCAAACATTTAACTTTGTAGTGTATAGACAGATATTGGTTCATAACATTTCTGAAAAGAAACATTGATAGTCCCACACCTTGAAAAGATGATGACAATGTATGATACGTTAGAAAGCACGTCGCGAAGTCTTTGTCGTTTTTCTGACTAGGGATATGATAAATAGGGTACCTGAATCAAGTTAAAAGCATTGAACAGAACCAATAAGCAAAAGGAAACGGCAAATAAGCTTTTGCGTGGATCGGTCAATAGGGAAGGCGAATTTTACCAGGAAACAGCCATCCAACTAGCTGGAGAAAGATCCACACTCCTAAGTGTAGTTAGTGCTGGATAGTTTTGAGTTAGTTCCCTTATCTGAAATGCAGATCGTCTAACATAAGCAAAGAAGAAGATGCTGATAATATCATTTTACACTTCTTCAATGCTTTATGTGTTCTTGCAGTACTCGACCATCTAAATTCCACCTATTTTCTTTTTTCATTTGAATATCAAAACTATCTTTTGATCTTCTATCGAAGGCTTATCGACAAATATAGAGCTGTTAAATTTGAAAACATCAGTTTCTATCCGTGAAGATAAATACCGTGATCAATTTAGAACAACGAAGGATCTACCTTGTCCATAAAAGGCACTCTCCAATAAGGAGAAGACATCTCCATATACTGTAAAGAGAGGTAGCCAAGTTTTTCCCTCAGCAGCCACGATCCCTCCTGGTCGAAGATCGAATCTTCAGAAACAGCATCCCATGTCCTGCTAGAGTTGTTGCTCAGGGATCTTGACAAGATATCACTCCAGCTATCGTCACTCCAAGAATCGCTTTCACATTCTGCCATGTCACTATCATATCTTCGGCTTCTACACACATAACTCGAACAAATATAGCTCATTTGCAACACAATGCACTAAAAACTAAATTGTATATCAAACATTTCCTTTAAAACTCACACTAATCTTCCCTCTTTCATAAATTCCAATAAACAACCATTTGTCTAAAAGAAACATATCAGTTTTTGTAACACCCCAAGCTCACCGCTAGTAGATATTATCCGCTTTGGCCCGTTATGCATCGCTGTCAGCCTCATGATTTTAAAACACATCTACTACGGAGAGGTTTCCACACCACTATAAGGAGTACTCCATTCCCCTCTTCAACCAACGTGGGATCTCACAATTCACCCCCCTTAGGGGCCAGTGTCCTTGTTGGCACACCGTCCAGTATCTAGTTCTGAGACCATTTGTAACAGCCCAAGCCCACCGCTAGCTAGCAGATATTGTCTTCTTTGGGCTTTCTTTTCTAGGTTTCCCCTCAAGGTTTTAAAACGCGTCTACTATGAAGAGAATCTAGCCCTACTCCGACCAGTGTCTCGCACCATCCGGTGCCTAGCTCTGAGACCATTTGTAATAGCCCAAGCCCACCGCTAGCAAATATTGATTGTTTTGACTCGTTACGTATCGCCATCAACCTCACGATTTCAAAACACGTCTGCTAGGAAGAGGTTTCCACACTCATATAAGGAGTGTTTTGTTCTCCTCTCCAAGCAATGTGGGATATCACAATCCACGCCCCTGAGGGCCCAGTGTCCTCACTGGCACACCACCCGAAGCCTGGCTCTGATACCATTTGTAACAGCTCAAGCCCACCACTAGCAGATATTGTCCGCTTTCACTCGTTACGTATTGTCGTTAGCCTCACGGTTTTAAAACACGTCTGCTAGAGAGAGGTTTCCATACCCTTACAAGGAGTGCTTCGTTCCCCTCTCCAACTAGCATGGGATCTCACAGTTTTCAAACTTCAAAGGCAGCAGAAGGAAATGAAAGTTGCTTCAGTATACCTGGAAGGCGGAACAGACTTGCTTGTGTAGATCTGAATTGCAGACAGATAAGGCACGTAGAATTGGGTAGCAGTTTCAAAAGCATTCAACTGTAATGGTATACCAGCACCATATGCACTCCATTCATCGTAGTAATCCCACAGCTCACCAAGCGTGAAGTACCGAATGGTATCTTTATCAGGTTGTTGCCACTGACTATTGAGATCATGAAGACAACTCTATAAGGAAAAGAAACATCGTAGGCTTAGAGGAAGCAATCAAAGGGATAACATGCAGCGATATCATCAATAAATGAGCAAAAAAGATCAAAAGCCATTAAATCTCATTTTGAAGACTTTAACGTTAAAGACATTCGACAATTTTTCTGATGACCCACATCAATGAAATTTAAATTATGAAAGTATTTATTCATGGCCGGAAAAAGAAAAAAAAAACTTCAAAATAATCAAAATGCCACGTGGCGCAGAGGAAAGACTTGTAATGACAAGACATTTGAAAACATGTCGTATGTCCTATCTATTTAATTTATTTTTCAAGCAAATGACAAAAATAAGAAATTCTGAAGATAAGGGTGGGGCCAACTTCGACGAAAATAATAAATTTGCTTATTTATCTAAATTAAATTGAGCTTCAAAAAATGACATTAAATCTTTAAATAAATAATAATTATGACTTACGTCGGCCCATTAAGGGCCCACTACATTAATTATTTGTTATGGAAAGAAATTTGCGTAAAATTAAGATATGGAAAGAAATTTGCGTAAAATTAAGATATGGAAAGAAATTTAAGAATGAACTTTTTGTTAATTCCTTTCCATGATTTACTTTTATTTTATTTAATAAATAAATAAATAAAGCTGACCATGGGGAAATGGAGAAAATTATATTGGTGGTGGAAAATGGGGGAATTTTCAATTTCCAAAATTAGGGTTGAGGTGGAAATTGAAATAATTATATAATAAAAATTATCCACATCGTGAGTCACATGGTTTTGCAGATACAAATTCAGAAATAAATAAATGAAAAATTATAACGGAGGGAAGGGTGGAAAATGTAGGATTTATAATGAAATAATAAATAATAATTAAATAATTAAATAATTAAAGAAAAAATGCTGAATATATATATAATATATTTTATTTTTACCCGAGGAAGAGTTCGCCAAGGAACGCAAGGAGTAACGCAGTGAAGAAACCGTTCCAAATTCGAGGAACTAAACGGCGCCGTTT